GCACTGAGGAAGAAGGAGCAGCAGGGGTGAATAATACTGTGCCTTTCAGGGTCCGTGTGGCCTTATGCCAGACCAAAGTTATTGGCTAATTCTAGCAGAGCTTTTAGTTAAGTTTGTAATAGCCAGTCCATCTGATTTTAAATAAAATCTGTTTCTGTATAAAGTAAAGTGAATGCTTGGCAGCTCATTGTGTGCTGCCCCTGTTTACAATGGATCTGGCCCTGAAAGAGTAAGGTATTTGGTACTGGAGAGAAGATTATAAAATGTATCAGGTAGGAGATGAGTGGGATAGACAACTTGAAGGAGATGTGTTGGCCTGCATAGGGTCAGAGCATGATTACTGTGTGCATATCTCTGCCTTTAATTAGAAGAGAAAGTTCAAATGCACTGGCATCGTTTTAGTATGCTTCGAATTCAGAAAGACAGTTTTGAATCCAGAAGCCTGTGCCATGAGCAGCAGTTCTTCCGTGATCGGTCCCAGTCTGACATACTCAAACATTAACCATTGAACTGAAACTGATTTGAGTTCCCACTTGGATTAGGAGGGTGATCAGGGCATTCAGATGGCCCGTTCAGGCTGGGCTAATAGTTTTCTTGAGATGTTTTTTATTAGTTTAAGTTTGGATGCTGTTTTCCTTCAGTGTGGTGACAGACCAAGGCTTTCTGTAGTATTATACCAAGGGAACCTGGTTCTTGTTTCCATGCTGTTCATTTTGAGCTGAGTTTGCTGTTAAGAAGAGGAATGCGTGCTTGGTTAAAGATAACATCTGTTGCAGTAATCAGCTTGTTTGACCATGTCAGTATGTAAAAGAGCTGGTAGGTCACAGAACAGCCAAGACTGGGTACTGAGCCAAGTGTTAGCTAAATAGACAAACTGTTAGGACTGAGCATGGCCAAAACACTGGGAAGGCTATTAACTTGACGCTGTCAGAACACAGGTATCTGTAGAGCATTTTTATTCACATCCAGCCTGCTCAGCTTTCGGGATAGTCTCTGCTTCTTGCAATAGGACTTGTTAAATGAGAACAGCTCCAAGACTGAGACGTCTGTAATTTGGAGGTTACCAGCCTATGTGACATGAGAGAAGTGAATGGATGACGGTGCAACGTGTACATAGTCGTGTATGTCGGTGATACAGCTTGGCTTGGAATGAGATGAAAGGTCAGATCTTTCCATCTGGTAGCCCTGATCCTGTTTGTGAGTCTCTCCTACACATATTAGGTGGATGTGACATTGATAATAAATACCCTGATTAAGCTGTGTTTGTTTATTCACAAGTCCTGGATGCTGAGACTAAAATGTAGAGGGCTAAGCAGTGGCTTAAAGGTCACACCTTGACACTATGCAGAATTTGAGAATGACCATATGAACTGAACTCAGTGCATTTGGCCTGCTGATCAGTCATCAGTTCCCTGCCAGGTACCACCTACTGGGAATGTGACATGATATCTACTGTGATCATTTGTGCTACTGGCAGATTATTGCTAATACTAGATTTAAATCCTCATATAGATAAGATGAATATATTCATCCTTTGCTTTCATAGCGTCAGCCATGTTTCCCGTTTCTCTTTCAAAGCATTTTTGTTTTTGGAATGACCATGGACCAATGAAGAATAGCAGATCTGTCTGACAGGTGCTGCACAAATGAGCCCACTCCACAATCGCTTGCCATCTAAATACATGAGGTACTGATTAGAAGAAAAAGATGCAATAGAAAAAGATTGGACAAATTCATGTAAGAGGAATACACCAAGTTTACTAAATACAAAGGCGCTACTTCCCAAAGTCCCAGAACCACAAATTATCAGAGTCTAGAAGACTGTTCTAGAGAATTATTGCAACGGACTTTTCTTGTTCTTACGCTCTTCTGTAGCCACCTTCTTTGACCACTGGCAGAGCCAGGATGCTTGGCTAGATGAACTGCTGGTCTGCCACAAAGAAATCTATCTTATATTTTAACCTGTTTACCATGAATTTTGTTACTCTTGTATTTGAGTCGTATTTCAGAGTTCCAGGAGTTGTGTGTCAAGTCCTAGTTCAATAGGCAGGCTACGCTCCAGCAGCCTCCTCCTGTTCATGCTCTGGCACATGAACCCCACTCCTGCATACAGCCGTCAGTTGTTCCTAAGTTCTGCACTGTACTGCAAAGTAACAGTTGAAAAGATACCTCTGTAGGAGAGGTATTATCTGTGTCTGTATCTGCTCTGTAGGAGAAGAAGGAGAAAAAAGGGTTTGCTCGTGTGCTGAGATGCAGTGTGATTTCAGAAAAAGGCAGCAAATGTGAGCTCCTTGTGTGGGTTAGGAGTGGCTAATGGAGCTTCTGTGGTCTGTAGCCCAGGGTCCTGTCTGCTAGCTGTGTGTGGGCAGACTTGGAGAAGTGAACAGAAGGGAGCCTGTCTCTTGACCACCTGAGGAACTAGTAAAGAGATGGAGCCTTGAGCAGATGCTCCACATAGCAAGCGTACATTAACCTTGGCACCAAGGACATAAGCTTGCCATTTTTCCATAGATAAAACACGTCATGAGTGAACGTTAAGGTCTCTTTTGATTGTAACCTCAAAAACTCAGTAAACTGTGGCTGTATAAAGAGGAATTCTTCTCTTTTTTTCAGTGTGGAAATAGTCATTGTATGTCATGGATTTAATTATACCTCTTTCTTCTTTGTAAGCATGCATACATGATATTGATGTTCTTGGAGACGGGAATTTCTAGATGAGCTGTGCGCAAGAGGAATAATCTTTTAGTTTCGGACCTCGAAGAAAGAGGATTGGAGCTGCTGAACTCTGCATGGAGCACATGGCATTTAAAAGTCAGGAGCAAGCTGTGGACATTTTCATGCAGCTCTGCAGTGCTTAGGTTATTCTCCTTTCTTGTGACAGAAGTAGCAATGCCTAAAGGCAAAAAAATATATTTTTTTTGTATTTTTGTCACTTGACAGAAAGCTGACTGTTGCAATAAGTGGGCACCAACTGTTAGAAAACCCTCCCTTAAATCCCTCAGCAATGCAAGTCTGGACTGCCGCTAATGGTCTGCAGAAAGAGCATGTTGCTTTAGCTTCGGGGATGTGCTGATGGAGCATGCACCATCCATTGGAAAGTGGAGCATGACGGCAATATTTTGTATTGAAAGGTATGTTTGGAAGGCCCTTATTTGCTGATAAGGGCAATTTTCCATGTTGCGAGAAGGAAGGTTAACAAGCGGCAGTTCTTAAGGGGGGGGAATTCTGGATTATTGTTCTGAATAATTCCACATACTCCCATGGTCTCCTTTCTTCCAATTTATGCAGATGTGCTTCAGAAAAAATTGTGTCTTTGTGGTACAGCCATCAAACTGTAACTGTACCTGGCTGCAACTTTTTGGTGGATATACAGATTCCTTCCTGTGCATTTTATGGCGTAAGTAAATGTTAACACTGTAAAGCCATTTGAAACCTTTCATTATACTAATAGTGTTAATAACCTTTCTGACTATTTTCTGTGGAATGAATCGTAATTCAAGAGCACAATCACATCCTAGCCTTCCCTTCAAGATCAGGGTCAAGGTCAAAATCCTGCGTATGGATCTGTGCTTATACAGACACATGAAAAAGGCTGAGCTGGACAGTGTATTAGTGAATGATTATTACAGCAGCATTCACGTCTCTAAACAAGAAAGATCAGGTTCCTCAGAGATTCCAGATGAATATTTGATTATCTTTTGTGCAATAATTTGCATGCTGGAGAGGTGGTGGCTGCTAAACACTTACAGATACTGTAGTGAGGAGAGTGGTTAGAGAACTACTCCATCCAGTTTGTAGGCTGGACCTGCAGGTAGGCAAAACAGTCAAGCCTTGAGACAGAGTTGGACTTATTGAGCCACTGACACCGGCTGTCCTGAGAAACGACTGGAGAAAAAAAGCATATTCAAACTGAAAGTAAGTGGTACAGACTCTTCATGTGCTCTATTTAATTAGTAGGAAATGTGCAGTGAAAGGTCACAAACTGTAACACGGCAAAAGTGGTTAAGCACACCAAAGAGACTACAGAATCACCATACTTGAGACTTTTTGACTGAACAAGGCCCTGAGCAGTGTGACCTAACTTTGAAAATTAGCCCTGGTTTGATCAAGAGTTTGGACAAGGTAACGGAGGGGGCACCCTCCAGTTTTTCTGAGATTCTAAGAAATGGCATATTCAGGCTTTCCTTCCCCAGTATAAAGTATCATTTACCTGAAACAGAAAAGTTGGTTCGTTAGAGGTTAAACATGTGATTGTTTATTATTTGAAATGATTCGCACTGATCATGCATTATATCCGTGCTTTACTGAATGTTAGCTGTACCAGCAGTTGGCAGAACAGGGCCAGGAAACTGTGAATTCCTTAAGCAAATACGTGAAAACCTCAAGAGGGAACGTGGTATCTCCTGCTGTCTCCTGGGACGTGTAGATTTCTTAGGCATCATCTTTCATGGAAACTGAGAGAGAAGTTTAACCAGGAAGCTCTTATATTTCATCATCTGTGAATGATAGTTTTAGTCAGTTACGTTGAGATAAGGGTTCAGGAAAGATACCTTTTAGAAGAAAAAAGTACATACTGGAACTGAAATTTTTGCAGAAGACGCAGATTCCACTCTGAGAGAAACTAGGAGAATTTTGAAAATATACTACCCTTGGATCTAGTAGGCAAGTAATTCCGCAGAGCATCTGGTTGTCTTACAGGGTGGTTTTAATCATGAGTGAATACTGTGAAAGGTAGGTACAAGTTAAAATACAACTAAGTGGTGGAAGAGGTTTGCTGATTAA